GCCAAGCCAAGTTTACCAACCTGTATTCTGGCTGATGATACCCTACATGTATGCCTACTTATTATTTTTTTGTCCCCTACTGAATAAATGAGATACCAGGGTGGTTTGAATACTGTTTGTAGACAGCGGCAAAGCCTTCCACTGTTAAAAGTTCAAATACAAATTTGCCATCTAATCTCCTATATATCATGTTTGTTTCCATGGAGCCGAGGTCTTGGACATGTTTGACTTAGATCACAAATTGTAGTATCAATGCCTTGCATTTTGTGAATTAAATCTTTTTAAAATTTGATTTCTACCAATGCACTGGGAGATAGTTACAAATTTGCATTTACGTTGCAATATTTTACAGCCTGTCAAAAATAACACAATACCAACTACTTGGTAGTACCTAATATGCTGTACATTTTAAACTGGTAAAGACAAATGCCTGTCACTAGTTATAACATGCATGGTCTTATTTGAGATCTTTTCTGCTTATAACATATTTTTGACTTTCTGAAAGTGAACTCTAGGAATTTTAGATTCTTAAGTACTTTCAACTCAACTTCTACTCACAAACAGGAAGAAGGTCTTGAGATAAAACCCAAATACAAACATGCCTTCAAAATGTCCTTTTCCTGACTGCTTCATTACATTTTCTAGTCATGTGAGGTCACTTACTTTTCTTACAGGTAAACCTTGTGATTCTAAGATAGAATAAACTTGTAGAGGTGTGTCTGCACATGAAAGATGGGAAATTGAAGGCAAACCTCATGTTCTAGATGAATAAGCAAAGAGCTAGGAAGAGAAATGAAGGCAAGACTTGGCGACTGTGGTGAGAGAGTTGGAGCAAGTAGTATTTAAAATATAAAGTTTCTGACAGGAGATAGATTCCTAAATCTAAAACACCCCGTGAGTGAGGGGAACCCATGAACAGAGCAGTTGCAGGGAGGAAGAGGTACTCAATGATCATATAGTGTCCTCAAGATTGGAAATACCACCTCCATGCTGGCAGGAAGTTTATCTCACTGCTAGTGGCCAAGTGTGTCCTGGTCACTAGTTGTAATGCTCAGATAACTTCACAGGGCCTGTGGCTATGTAAGAAATTCCCCCATTTCATGGAAAACACGACTTATTTCGCTAGAAGTATATGTGAAATTCTTGGTTATCTTCTTTCTTCTCTTAACTCTTCAGTGTATTTTTTTTAAATTTTATTAAGTTCTACATTTTTCTCTGCTTCCCTCTCTGCCTCTCCCCTTTCACCTTCAACTTGGTGTTTAAATTAGGGATTAGATTTATTGTAGGACTATTATAAGACATGAAGAGTTGAATGTTATTAGAAAAATGCAAGCTCTGAGAACAGTCATATATATACATATAAATGTATATATAACATTTACATGAAAAGCAATGTAACATCCAAAGGCATGGATACATTATGAATGTGACAAAGCTCACTTCATTGCTCATAAAATTTAATCCTTGTTGTTAAGAGATATTGAAGACTAGATACCATGATATATTTTTCAGTGTAGATCTGATCTTTATTTTTTAATTAATAATACATGGCAAAAATATCTGAGAGCTGATCTATTATTTATATTACCTCTTTCAAAGAGCTTTTCATGCATTATATATTCAGACAGAAAATTCATCTTATTCTATATTTGAAGTTACTTTCTCAATGGAAAATACACTAAAAATGCTATCATGTAAGAAAAATGGTTGTGCTGGAATCCACAGTTCTGGCTTCTTGTGTGCTCTGCATGTTGAAAATGGGCAGCAATTAAGCAGTTCAAAATAACATTCATGGACACTTAGTTCTGAAAGTTCTTAGTGAAAAATAAGGTTGTCCCATAATTCTATTTAGAGCTAGAAACAAAGACTAAATATAAAAGAATTAGAGATAGGCTTTTAAAAAATAATAGCTTTAAGTTATTCATGTCATTTTTTCTATCGAAAATTAATGTAATTTCCTATGTATTTTGTGCTTGTAAAAAAAACTTTATCAAGACTTTCTCTGCCAAGTCAATTCAGATTATGTTTTCCAACACTTAAAATCTAAAGTACTTCATTCAACTGTGTCAATACACAGAACAAGCATCTGCCAGGCCCTTTAATAACTTATAGCTTTCTCTTACAGCAAATATGAAGGGCTGATATTAATTTCTTAGTGAAACTCCTCATTAGAAATGGTCATTTAAGTCTGGAATAAATATAACTGAATAGCATGAACAATGAGTGGGGAAAGGATGCTAAGAGGCAGGTGAATAATTCAAGCAGGCACCAATCTTTATATGATTCGAATGACATCATCTTCTCCCCACAAATTTATAATTCCTCCCTGCATAAGTTTCTCTCTTAGGCACCCAAGATTAAACTTTGTATTTTACACTTACAGGCCAATGAAATTGATTTGAGCACAAATCTTATGGGATGTCTTGCTTCAACAAAGCTCAAAAGTACAGAGTGCTTAGGTAATTAGCTTTTGTACAAAAAGAGAGCCATATGTTCGGGGAATAGTTTGTTTTTAATATACTTCCACTCTTCCTTGATTAAGAAACATGAATCAGCCTGTTTTAGTACTTTTTAATCTCTGATATGGTTAAAATTTTTAAAGATGAGTAGTAAGAATCACAATGAATACAAAAGATCCTTTAGTTTTAAGAAGGTATCAGAAGAAGTGGTTGTCTTTTACAATTATTGTGGTAATTTTAAAGTCTGTTGAATCAGCCTATCTCTAAGTGTTTCTTATAGAATTTAGTGGAAGCATTCCTGGTATTGAGACAAATTTATAGAATGTCTTCTTTAGCCCTGGCTCTATTATAAACAACCTGTTATCGGATTCAAAGTCCAAGCTGTCAGTTAGCAACCCAGATGTTTCGAATCAAATACAAGAGGGGTCAAGTCACATGCTGTACAGCAGCTCATTCAGTGATTGACCACATGTATAAGAGCAGCTCCAAAGTGTTCTAATGGAGTTGAAAAGTTCTTAGGGCCTAGAGACATTGTCTTGTCCTATGCTGACATTCTATTTTGATGGTTTGAATGAGAACAGCTCCCAAAGGCTCGTATATTTGAGTGTGTGATTTCCAGTTGGTGGACTAGTTTTTGAAGAATTTGGGGGTGTGGTATTGTTGGAGGAGGTATCTTTCTGTGGGTGTGTGGCTTAGAGGTTTTAAAACCCTACACCCTTATTAGTTGGCTCACTCTCTTTCTTGTGCCTGCAAATCAGATGTAAGACCTCAGCTACTAGTCTGGCACCATGTCTGCATATCTACTGCCATGTTTGCTATTGTGGTGATTATAGACTCTAATTCTCTAGAACTGTGAACCCTCAAACTAAACGCATTCTTTTATAAGTGTCATTGGTCATGATATCTTGCATGGTAGTAGAAAAGTATCTCAGACAACCACTGAAATGTTTGGGGTGATGTAAGAGCAAACACACCTACCACAATGTCTTCATAGATGTATACCACATTCAGTTGTCCACTGTATATAATAGTTTACTGACAATAAGTTATTCTGTATCATTTTATGTTTCTATGTTATAATTATTTTAGATTGTACTTCTGATTATTAAGACAAAAGTTAACTTCAAGTTATATGGCAATGGGGTCATAAGGATGGCATCTCCTGAAGAAAGACTGAGCTACTTATGGTCCTCACTCTGAGTAGACCGAGCATAGCGCAAGTCCTATGCCTTAGTCTGTCACACACAAAAGTTTCATTAAAGGGTAGGATACAATTAAAAACAGAAAGGATAGGAAAAATATATCTGTAAAGCAGTAGCGTGTGTGTGTTTGATGATGTGTCATCATAAAAGAGTCAAAATGAAAACTTCTAAAAGTTTCTAATGTGAAAGAGCTACAGTAAGATCTTGTTAAGTCTTGTTTAAAGATGTCGATTTCAGTTCTTTGTAGCCCAGAGGCAACATGGTGTTGATGAACCGCACAACAATATAAGGTGGTGTCCGTGTTCTCCTCTCTCCCACCATCCACTGACCCACACAGAGATGATTCCTTTTCTGAAAACCCCACTCACAGTAGAGTGCTATCTAACCCCCCCCACATTTTCAGTTATTTTAGTTTTTAGTTTTTGAAATAATTTTAAATTGATAGGAATTTATAAAATAAAAGTGATGCTGTGTACCTTTGCACAGCTTCTCCCAATTGTAGCTTCCTGCAAAGCTAGCAAGCAGCACAACCTAGAGAACCAAGATCAAGAGCAATGCATCACCACCAGGACGCCCCATGCTCACCTCTCACAGTCATGCCTCCTTCCCTCCATCCCTCCTCCTCTCACCCCCTTCCTTCTGAAACCACAGTATCTGTTTGTATAATTATGTCATTTTAAGAACACTGTGTAACTAGACTCATACGACATGTAAGCTTCTGGGAGTTTTTGTTTTTTATCAAAACAAAACTTACTGGAAATTCTTCCAAGTCATTGTCTTTCCAAATAACTTGTTCCTTTTTGTTCCTGGATAGTACTTTTTCTATGATACCACGACACTTTGATTAAACACTTAGCCACTGAGTATAAGCAAGGCTTCTGAGCATTTGTAGGCTTGGGCGGGGTGGCTGGGGGAGGAAGCAAGTGATATACCTATTATTCTTTGCTTTGTGTTCACTTTGAGTTTATTTTGCTTTTTCTTTTCTAGGTTGTCAAGGTGGTAGCTTAGACTATTGATTTAAGATTTTCTTTTTTTTCTAACACATGCTTCTAATGCTAGACATTTTCCTCGCTTGTACAATGTTTTCACTGGATTTTTCCAAATGAGGACAGACAGATACATAAACACTATTTTGTTGCAGTTGTATACATTAGGTGTTCGGTACCATGTGTGGAGATTTGTCTGCTAAGAGCAGTAGACCATGAATGTGGTCCGAGTTTAACCGACTCTCCACCACCTCCCTCTGTGGGAGTTCACTCTGGTCTTCTAGAAATGACAAAACCACTCCGCAGCACAATTCTGAGAGCACATCTTTATCATTTAGCAACAAGTAAGGACAGCTTTATTATTTTGTGTCACAATGGACCAGTTGATAATTACTCTGATAAGGAGAAGAATCTTCAAATAATACTTAGCATAACATAAAGATTTCAAAAACTCAGTTTGTATTTCCTTAAATTTGTCATTTCCTCGCTTGGATCAGGCAGTAACATTCTTTGGTGTTTCCTAAAGAAAAAGATAAAAGCTTGCAATATGTAAACACCATTATACTTGACATTTGTGACAGTGTTTCTGCAGGAAGGCTTTAGCATGTATTTAATGTCACAATAGCACTTCTCATCAGCTGGTGAAGTTATATGTACCCCTGCCCAAAGACAGAAACTATTCAAAAGCACAGCTGTGAGCCAAAATCTCTGTGATGCCTTTCATAGATAGGTCCTGTTAGAGTTCATGTGTGTGCCTGGTTAAACTGTGATGATGCACGTACATTTTACATACATTATAAGGATGGTTTCACAGGGTTTTTTTTATAAGCTGTCCCACCTTCTCGAGCACCCATGGAGGAAACAGAAGTTAAGAGGAGGCAGCTCTGGACCTCACTGACACATCTGTAGGTTGCTTGCACATTTGCATATTGCTACTTTACTTCTCCTTTCCCATGAAAGTTGTCTGCTTCCGTAGACTAGCTTAAATTTTCTTATAAATCCCACCAGCTTAACCGCATTCTTTGAGATTATGCACAAACATTTACCCATGAATGTGTCCTTCACCTTAGTGATACTCCCTGACAAATAGTTTTCTAATATATTCATACTCCCCTAGGCTCAGTCTTTACAGACATCCATTTCCTCAAAGGTAATTTACGTTCTAAATCTATTTTTATCCCCTCTGTCAGTAATCTATCAATTTTACAAGATTTTTTGGGGGGTGGGAACTTCTCAGTTTGGAGAAGTTTCTGTTCTGTAATTTTGTTTTTACTTCATTGGCTTCTGCTATCACCATTTTTTCTTCATTTCCTGCATGTTTGGGTGTTTTCTTTTTCTCCTTACTTCTTGAAGTGAATGCTTTATCAGTGAATCACCTTTGTTTCATTCTGGTAAAATTTTTATTATCCTACATCATCTTCTTTTTATTCTGTCTGAATGTACAGCTCACAAAAATATTTTTCTGTCTTCAAATAATAATTAAGCTTTCATCACTTATCTTCATTGATATGTCATATCAATGTCTTAAATTTGTTGTTTTATGTTTTACCATGTATTGAAAAATGTTTTTCTTCAGGATGTCACTATACAATCAATTTCTAGTTGATTCTTGGAGTATTTATGTAGTACTGTAAGGTTATATAATACTTTATGAATATAGGTTATACTGCCATTGAACCAATAACAAGGGTGAAAATCCCACGTCCCTTCTTCCTTTCCTTTTCTTCTCAAGTCTAAAACCAGTATTATCGTACTTTTATTTTTTGTGATAACTGTACTATTAAATTTACAATTTTAAATGAACACTCAGCGATCTCTTTTGATGCCTAGGCCCATAAATCATGAGATTTTGCCAGCTGACACACATGTGCAATGATACTACTCAGCCATGTAATGACGACGCTGTTGCCCTGACCACATCTGTTGTGGCCTTCTTGTTTACCTGCATCTCTACAGCAAGCACTGGTTACTCTTGGCCCTGAGGCTGTTTTTCTGCTCTGCTGGCAAAGGGCAGCTGCCAGCTGTGCTGGGAAACCAGTCCCTGCCCAATGCTCCCTAATGGGCGGTGGATAAGCTCACCTGCTCTTCCAGTGCTTGCAAAAGATGATCTAACACTTGTTCTGCGCTCTCCCAGAAGAGTCCAGAGGGATCGAGCCCCAGGTGGCCGCTGAGTAGTAACATGCCTTTAGTGAGAAGCTCTTTCACTTCTTTCAGTCCTCAGTTTCTTCCAGAGTTTACCAAAATTAGCCCTGTGCATAAATAGAAATTACTTGGTCTAGAGTCAGAATCCTATGTCAGAGTCTACTTTTGAATATCCAGTTTAAATCATATGTACTATATCTGATGCTAGGAGTCACTCAGACACATTGAATTGTAGTTCTCCGTGAAGCTCATTTGCACTGCTTGGAGCCTATTGAAGGAAAAATGATAGCAACATTAAATTTCCAATTAGGTTCTGTTTTAGAAAGGATTCCATGGTATATCTAGGTATTCTGATTTGGCCACAGTACTCAGCCTACTACCGACTGGGTGTTAAGAACGCATGTGTCTTCTCTGAATCTACTGTGTCACTGTAACTTTTCCTGTTCCTCGTGAATTCAACTACTTATCTTTGTAAGAGGTAAAGCAGGAACAAGACTCTATCATCAAGCAGAAATTATATTTGAGATAAAAATAAGTACATAACCCCAGGGATATATCCTGTTTCCCAGATGAGTGTCTTCACCCAATAGATTTCCCAAGTTAATCTTGCAGGGGCTGCAGGGCCTCTCAATACTTTATTAGCAAGCCCATTTGAGGAAATATACTTGGAAGATTGAAGACAGGTTGACCAAACTGAGAGACAACAGAATCTCCTGACCAATGATTTCTATAGCCAAAAGTATGGGTTTGCTTGTTTTTTATCAAAGCACTGGCAGGAAATAAATGGAATTGACAGTACCCTCTGCATATGGGGATGAGGTCGAGGACCATTAGCATGATGACAAAATTTTAATATTTATCACTCATATTAGACAGGCATAACAAAGACCATTACCAAGCAGAATGATAAAAAAGAATAAGAAGACAAAACTTGTACCAGTGTAATGATTGTCATAATTGTGTGATGGATTTATGGAACATGACCCAGTAGCTCATATGCCATATGTAAGAATAGGTCCATGGCCATGACCTTCTTGAAGAGGTAGAAGCCAAAGATGCTATAGCACACGACTCTTTGCCCACACAATAAAAGGAAGATAATAAGGTGAACTCGGTCACACTTTTGTGGCTTAGCTCTAATATTCAGCTGGAAAATGTTACATACAACAAATGCCATATAGCCAAGGGTTTAAATGGCATTTCCTAGTGGTGGATGCATTCTAAACCTTTAAGCTGGAATCTTGGCCTACTGCATTGAAAAGTCCATTATATTAGTAAATTCTTGTGTACTGTTTAAGATTTGTGAAAGCAGATTCTGGGAGTAAGGAAGGCTTTCTTGCTCTAGACTACAGCTGTTTATTTCCACAGTCCTCCGAGACCCATTGCCAACAACGGGTTGTGCCCCTGATTCTATAACCAGAAAAGAAAAGAACCACAAAACAGCCCAAGATTTACAGTACTGTTTCATCATGAACAGTTAAATGTAAGCTATTTTTAACCAAGGCTACTATTGTCTATCTCATAATATCAGGGTGACTTCAGCAGGAAAGAGAAGGTGGAAGCTCACCTGGGGAGAGGATGCTCTGACCAATACTCTTGATGGGAACTCCAGCATGGCACTTTCAGAAGGAATCCCCCACTAATTTCTGTTGGATGAGTTTAAGTGCCCCACTGGATCATATCTTTATTATTCTTACTTGTTCTTTTGTTTAAAAACCTCATCTGAGGGAATGTCCTGCTCCACCTAAGACTCTAAATCAGGAAACCCTAATGACTGCCCTAGCAGGGCTTCTAGTCATTTCTATTGGGTGTTTATAAGCCCAGGACATGATGATGTCACCTTTTGTTTGCTCTCTTGCTTAGGTTACCGGAGTATCGCTGTTGAATGGTTATGTTGTGCTATCTGTTGCTTCTATTTACCATCTGGTTCTTCCTACGTACTCTTTGACTTTTGCTTGCTGTATATTCGACAAACTCATTTACTCAAATTGAAAGTCTGGCTCTCATAGATCATTCTCTGATCTGTATAGAATGCGTGTACACTTCAGAGACATTCTCTTGGCCAGTGAGAAGCTTTGTTGCTCTATATTGGATCATCCAGATACTATTTAAACAGAACAAAGAATACCTTTCATTGTGAAGACCATGCAACAACAGGCAGACACCTACAGCAATAAGTAGACATAGCAAATCCACATTACCCTCGGTCTGATAGAAAATACATAATGGCACCTGAAATAATTACAGTGGTAACTACAGAGGAACACTCTAAACACTCAGCAGAAAAGAATGAGGTCAACAAATCATTTGTGTTTGAATTCCAGTAAGAAAGACTTGGTCCTACCCATATGTAAACCCTTTTACTCACATTCACTAGTCTCATTTCTCCCCTTTATTCCCTCTAACACCAAAAGGAAATCTACCATTTTTGTGTCTACTCTTCAGAAAAGCCAAGTATAGTTATTGTAGGATTTATGCTGCTCGGAAGGCCCTCTCAACAGGGTCTACACATCATAAGAAAAGACCTATCACAGGGATAAAGGCATCCTTCACCAGAGGTGCTGGAGAGACTGAAAGTGTGAGAGCAATTACAAGACCCATCAGGGCTATAGGTCTTGTTAACCACTCAGCAGGGCTGCATAATCATGATGTAATATGTGGGTGTACACACAAAGTAAGTGGGAACTCTGCTAAGTCATCATTTGTACATAAAGTCAAACAACCAGAAAGCACAGAACATCTAGGAAACCTCTACAAATATACAGAGATTCTGTGCAAGTATTCATGAGATTCTGATAGATGAGTCATTGCCCCCCAACCCAGTGTGTGTGTGTGTGTGTGTGTGTGTGTGTGTGTGTGTGTGTGTACCCTTTTCCTTCCAACACCTATAGAATATACATTGGGACAATGCAATAATTAACATCAGGGTTGGAGCCTGGGGCAGCCATCTGATGAGGTGTTGCTTTTGTTTCTTGAGATACAAGTGGTGTGGGCCAAGATTCAAATTGTGCTGGTATGACCATCACTCAACACTATCAGAATATCCTTGCCACTAATGCCTCCATGATCTGTGATGCCCTTTTTATGTATACAAATCCAACGACTACTGTCCTGGTTTGTGGTCTGTTGCTGTGATAAACTCCATGACCAAATATGACTGGGAGAGGAAAGGGTTTGCTCGTTATACACTTTAGGGTAAGAGTTCATCACTGAGGAAAATTACTGTAAGAAAGGCAGAAACTAAAGCAGAAACATAAAGAAATGTTCCTTACTGGCTGGTTACCTTTGGTTGGCTCAGTTCTCTTTCTTATACCACTCAGGTATATCCTTATACCCTTGCCCTGTAGTGGCACCACCCACAATGGGTTGAACCCTCCCACAACAATGATTAATCAAGAAAATGCCCCTATAGACTTACCCACATGCCAGTCCGATGGAAGTAATTCTTCAGTTGAGATTTCCTCTAGCCAGGTGACTCTAGTTTGTCAAGTTGAGAAAAACCAACATAACTGCTCTGCACCCCAAGCATTAGCATCTTTCCATGCTAGAGCATCAGAGCAAAGAGAACCTTAAATCTTGCTGAGACTTCGTGAAGACCAATGCTGCATGTGTTTCTATGCATGCATATCTGTGTATGAATACCAACAAGGGCTCTCTAGCAAGACTAGTAATGTTGACTTCTGGCCTTATATCAGGACATCATGAGCTCCCCTTGGTTCCATGCTCATTTGTAGAGCGTATCGATTGCAAAATGCTTGTCCTCACTGAAGGAAATTGTTTAGAAGTTTGGAGTACTAGAGGGTTCAGAAGTCTTAGTGACTAGTACCTGCCTTGCTTATTTGAGGTGTCCTAAAGATCTAGCATCTCAGGAGACAACAGACATCTGAATCTGTTCCACAGTGCATTCTCATACCTAGATAGGTATCCATGCCCTGCTGTCCGTGGTACACCTAACCACAGCAGTTGTGGTTAATACTGTAGCTGATTCTACCCAGCAGCAACAAGACTCATAAAACACCCTGGCGAGTGATCCAGACTACTTTCTAGTTAACAAGGAGGAGTTTGTCTCAGCTAGCCTACCCGATTCTGTGAGTATCAACAACACGGAGGTTATTAACAGGAACACTTAACACTAACGTGTGAGGCCACAAAAATGAAACCAAAAACCAACACAGCCAAGCTCTCTGCACTCAAAGGCCTAAAAATGGGTTCCTTTATTTGACAGTACAGCCTATAAGACATTTTTAAAAACTTTGTCTCTACCTGAAATTACAGCTTTTAATTTTTAAAACATTTATGTATGCCCATGTGTGTTAAATCACTGGACAAAAAAAATAAATGACTCCTTTTTATTACTTTATTTTATTGTTTTCACAGCTATTTTACCTAGTATACCTGATTAACATTGCACTTTTTGTTATCCCACTTTATTTGAGAAAATTGTATGCTTTTACTACTGACACTTTAAGATTTATTTCGTTTTGTTTGCATTTATGAGGGTTTTTTTTTTCTAAAGGTGTGTTTGTATACCACATCATACCATGTGCCTGTGGAGGTCAGAAGAGAGGTTAGAATACCTTGAAACTGGAAGGATGGATGGTTTTGAGCCACATGGGTTTGGAATCTGAATCCAAGTCCTGTGGTTAAAAGCACATACTGCTTTCAGCCATTGAAATATCCTTCTAATTAATTTTTAATTCTTATATAACCTGTATTAAGAACATTTACACAGAAATCATTTTACTTTAAACTCTAATAAATGATGTCTATAATATTCTTGTCTACACGAAATTTTCCAATTTGTTATCCCTGCGCCCTTCAGGCCTTTGTTGCATTTTAAATTAGGACTTGTAAATTAGAGACCAGCCTAACTTATCTTTTCTGTCAGTAACCAATTACATCTTGATTAGTCAAACATCTGCTGCATAATAAAATGACCCTGAAGACTGGGAGATGCCTATTTCCTTAAAGCATTTGCCACTCAAAGATAAGGGCCTGAGTTTGAATTTCTGGCATCTGTGTAGAAACCTAGGTATTTTAGTCTGTGCCTGAATTACTAGTGCTGGGGAGCCAGAGACAGAAAAATTCCTGTATCTCATATTTCACTAGACAAGAAGTTTGAATTGGGGAGCTCCAGACTCAGTGAAAAAGCCTGTATCAAAAAAATAAATAAATAAAGGCAAAGCTCTAGGAAAAGATATGCAACATCAGTCTTTGCATGCATGAGCACAAAGGCACACACACAGAGACTCAAAATACACACAGAAAAAGACACACACACACGTACATAGAGAGAGAAATCGAGGTTCAACCTGAATATCCAAAAAAAAAAAACGAAACAGCCAACCGCTGACACTTAACCTTGACCCCAGTCCAAAATGGCGATCCTGCCTCCAGTAATCTCAGAATGAGATTGATCCTGAGAGCTGTCTCCTCCCATTTTATAATCCTCTCTAGTTCTGGGACTAAGGGTGTGCACCACCACCGCCTGGGTTCTATGACAAGCTAGTGTGGCTACTGGGACTGAAGGTGTGTGTCATTGTTGCCTGGTCTGTAAGGCTGGCCAGAATGGCTGTTTTACTTTCCCGATTCCCAGGCAAACTTTATTTATTAAAATACAAATGAAACGCCGCTAGAGCTCTGATTCAGGCAGACTGATTAGTCAATTACCTCCAGGTATCCAGTCTCCGTCCTGCCCGTGGCTAGGACTGCGAACATGTGCTACAGTGCCCAGGTTTGCCACAAGCGCTAGCATGTTGTCTCAGTTCCTCCTACTTGCACTGCAAGTGGTTTAGAACTGAACCATCTCCCCAGCTCCCAGACAGGTTTTTTTTGAAGCTATGCCCAGTTGAGTGTCTCTTCTGTTTTGTGTAGTATCTATTTCTTTAGAACTGAAAATGGCTTTTTAGGCATGCCCCAGTCTTTAGCTGGCATAGAGTGGATAAATGTGACTGTAAGAAGTATCTTAAGTCACGTGGCCCGTGCAGATGGCTATACCTCTGTGGGTAGCAGTTAAGACCAGGTTCCAAAAGAGATTTACAAGAGAAACCTTAATATCCAAGTCTTGGTCAAAGCTCTGCTTTGTGTAGTGCTACTGTGTACTGTTGAGGGCTGTGGACCCCCAGACCCTGAATTTCCTGTGACCCTCTGCCTGCCAGGGGCAGGCAGTAAATTTGTTTTCCTATGCTTGCAGCTGCTCTGAGCAAACAACTTGTTTTGCAGCTGCCCTGAGCACGAGACCCTCAGGAGTTCCTGATGGCAGGGGAGTGGTTTCTGGTGGGCTTGCAGCTGAGAGTTAGCCATTAGTCAAGGAGACCCTCTATAAGCTGCCCTGGAACGCAATAAAGTGAGCATTCTTGGAGCATTCTTGGTGTTACCCCCGTCTCTGTGTGTCTGTGTGTGTTTCAATCTCCAGCCTCTTGCCCAATTCACAATCCATACTGTAGCGCATAGACAATCATTGCGTGACAGTGTATTTCAGTGATTAAACTCAGTCACAGATGCATTTTCCTTGGTATAAAGCACTGTGATCTAAAATTCATCTGTCCCCTACCTTCTTCTACAAAGCTAACATACAACATATATATGAGCAGATCACTTAACTACATACATCTGTGAGGGGTACCATCCTATGTTCATAGTAGTTTTGAAATCCAGCACGACAGATATTTTGAGTTCTGCTTCTTAAATGTAAAAAAAAATCTACTATAATATCCAAGGAAATTCCATTTTTCTTGTGAATGTCTGTAATGCTTAATGGGAACTTAACAAAATGCCCAGGCATTTCAGTAAACAAGTCTTTGTAAATGGCTACCAAACAGTTTGGGTAAAGGTCTGAAGAAATCCTGGCCATGCACACCTGATGTGATAAAGTTGCTTCTTTCTGCTAGGGAGCTTCAGGAGTTCAGGGGACCCAGAGCCTGAAAATAGCTAAACTTTAAACATGGTTTCCTCGGAGTGTAATAGGAGCACATGCAGATCGAACTGTTCCTATATTAGCTGTCTAGCTGTCTACCTTGTGCCAAGAACTGTGTGTTCATTTACTATTCTCTATAACTACCTCTACATGATGCCTCCTTTGTCATCATACCAGTCTTGGTGCTAGTTGTAACCACCATCTCCATTTTGTTTATCTTGGATTAAGTTTCAGGTTGATTATTTGGGGATCTCATCCTATTTTATGTCTTGGATCCTTATTATGAAAAGCCCTGGCTTGCAGATTACCTAAACTTCTGAATTCTGAGTGTCTTCTCACTATTATATGCTTTATCGTACGGACAGGTAGAATATTTTCTAGGCTTCCTGAAGTATTTTTTTTCAAATACCTCTTGCATTCAAAGAGATTTTACTTGCTTGGGCTCTCTGCAGCTAATACTATGCCTCGAGATCATTTGAGACTACTATTAACCTGCTGTCTTGCTGTGGTGGATAGATTTACGTCAACCTGACACAAGCTTTAGCCATGTGAGGCGGGGAATCTCAACTGAGAAAATGTCTCAGTAAGATGAGTTACAGGTAAGTCTGTGGAGCATTTTCTTCAAGTGGAAGGGCTCAGCCTATAGTCGACAGTGTCATCCCTGGGCAGGGGCCTTGGGTTCTGTGAGAGAGAAGGCCGAACAAGTCAGTAAGCAGTGCTCTGCCATGTCCTCTGTATCAGCTCCTGCCTCCAGAACCCTGCCTTGCTTGAGTTCCTGCCCTGACTTCATTCAGTAATGGAACTATGATGTGGAATTGTAAGCCAAATGAACCCTTTCCTTTCCAACTTGCTTTTAAGTCTTAGTGTTTCATCATAACAACACTAATCCAAACTAAGACATCTTCTGTGTACCTAGACTGTAAATTAAAGAGGCAGGAATGCCTCATCAGCATTTGCTCATAAGCTCCAGAAAAGCATTAACAGGGAACCCTTTACTTGGAGATATAACTCCCTGTTCACTGGCTATATGGAGTCTAGAAAGGACTAGGTAGTAAGGGATAGGTTTTGAGTAATGTAGAAGCTTATCCCTTGATGTCAAGCAAGAGGGGAAGAAAGTGTTGACATCTAATTGGAAGTGACCTTGGGCACAGAGGATTTGGAAGAATCTAGAGACTAAACATTTTTTTGTGTGTGTGCTTGCATACATCTAGAGTGCAAAGACTATATCTCAGGTTTGGGAATCCAATACAAGCTTAGTTTACAAGCTCTCACAGCTGGGCCTTGAACTTACTTTATGGATGGGTTGGGTTGAAAACTGAATGAGAACAGAGCTCTGGTATTAAAATAAAGAATAAAGTTCAAGGCGTGGCCCCTGTAGTTAACCTTCTCTGATTTCTGTCTATGAGAAATTAAAACCTATTCATTCTTTATAGACTGTCAGTCCCTCTTTCTTTACATACTGGTATTATCCTGATTATTAATCACTGTTAGAAATTTATTTTCTTCTTCCAATGAACCCACAACCCTCAACTTAGCCATCTAATTTTGGAGTCCTATCATTCCTGTTTCCTCAAGAATCTCTTATGTGTATCAGTCCATTCCTTTCTGCTGATATATGCTTCCAGGTCATGATGGAGGAAAATAACCCATTCAGCTGAAACTGCCCACCAGGAACTATCAACGTTGAATGATGTCCTGGGACCCATCTAACTGCAATGGCATCCAGCTTGCTATTTTTAGAGGGTACTTCCTAGGAATACTTCTGGAAACAAACATTTCAAGTTCTCCATGAAACAGTTTTTGAACATTTCTGGAAGGGGGTTTATTGAGAAATTGTCCCAGGGAGAATGAATGTGAGGTTAAGGGAAGTATAATTAGGTAAATGAGCAAAGACGAATGTACAGCAGAGGGCTTGGGCCACCCTTTGGTAGGATTCCTGAACTGGGTGAACCCTTGCATGTATCTCTGTTGGATAGTGAAGGACCTAGCCCATGTGACCTGACATTTACAGTCCTTGGCTATGAGTTACCTTGCAGGGAAGGTGAGTGAAGAGTTAGGCATCTGCGCCTGGGTCTCTGTAACCATCATAGCCTGCAGGGTTTCGATCCAAGAGAGGCAAAAAGGAAGTCCTGTTCAACATGACTCATGGCTGTTACGGGCTCAAACTTTAAAAGACTGATCCTGAGTAATCTTTTTAAGACCTACA